GATAATTGATGGTACACCTCAAATATTATTCTAAAATTTTATTTATCCATTTTATTTGTCTATAAATTTAAGAATAAAAAATTGAAGAGAACTTTATATGTACTTTTAGAATCTTAAAAAGGATTTTTAAAATTCTTAATACAAATTGAATCCTTCTATTTGATGTAATATCATTGGACAATCTATGATTATAATAGATATTGTTAAAATAAACTTGGCTATTTTTTTACTTATGATATATTTTATACATGTTACAAAATGTGCCATCTTAGTAAAATAATCTACTATCATAAATACTATCACAAATATATAAAGATTTATGTTAAAATCTATAAAAACAAAAGACCATGGTTTTTTCAAAATAAATAATGGCTGAAGAAGTCTATAAGATCATTAATGAGGATTTTTTGATCTTAAACAAATATCACATGATTGTAAAAAGTCTATAACTACTTTTCATATTTAAAGCCACTAAAAATCTTTTAATATTAAGTCCAAAATCTTATTATATCCAAAATATCCAAGTATTAAAAAATCATGATGAGCTTCAAGAACATGTAATTATGCTTTGTCTTCTGAAATATATAATTATTCTTTTATATAGAATAGATTATTTTAAACTCAAACTTGAAAGTATCATGAAACTTAAAAACATTCTTCTTGATATCTTGAATAAGAGGATTAGAAGACATACTTGATTGAATTTGTTTAATAAAGATTGAATCAATAATCAATGTTGATTTTATTACTCAAAGATGAAAATGCTTTGGCTTTAAGAGAATCAATCTTTGTTGATCAAAATTTGCATCTTTTTTTTGACATTAAATAAAAATGTCTAGAAAGGATGTCTAATAAATCTTATTATTTTTTAAGTCAATAAGTGATCTTGAAATCAAATCTTTATAAAAAAAAATATTCCAACAAGCTTGACAATAATTCAAAATATGTACCATCATGAAATACTTGAGGTTCTTATAATCTATATACATAGTGAATAAACTCAAAGAGCCTTCTAAATAATGACTCCATTCTTGAAATGAATCCATGATTGCAAGAAGCTCTTTATCATAAATCTCTTAATTAATCTCAACTATTGAAGATTTTATGGAATGAAAAGTTATTGAATAAAGCTTCTCATTTATATCTATTTATAAGAAAATGATACTTATAGCAAAGTTTGATGCATTTATTTCTATAAAAAAATACCTTGAAAAAATTAATAAGATACAAAATTGATACAAAAATAAATGATGTTTTCAAGGCTTCAAAAGATGCTTGAGCTTCTTTACTCCATTCAAATTTGTCTTTATATGTTAGATGTATAAGAAGAGTCATAATTTGAAAAAAGTTCTTAATAAAGATCTTGTAATAATTGAAAAATTCTAAAAAAATATTGCATATCTCTGATTATTTTTGAGATCTTCAAATCTATGATAGTGTAGACTTTCTTTGGATCCATCATTAGTACATTGTAAGAAATGATGTATCCTAAGAAGTCTACTTAAGTAGTATAAAATATATATTTTTTCATCTTGGCATATAATCCTATATCTCTAAATTTTTATAATACATAACAAATACGAATTTTATATTCTTTTATATTCTTAGAATACATCAAGATATTATCTAAATAATAGATAATAAGTCTAATACATACAAATCTACTTGATTAATAGGATTTTGGATTAAACTATTAAAAAACTTTAGGTTACAATGTCGTATTACATATATTCTTAGTTAAGAATGTATTAAATACCTAGCTATGGAAGGTAAGTAATAATACAACAAAAATTCTATCAATTTTAGTAAAGCCTTAAATAAAATTCAAATAATTCATAATAATTCAATCAAATTTTAACCTATCAAAATAAATTTAAAGAAATTTGATAGGTTAAAATTACAAAAAAAATACAATTTTTTTTTTAAATTATTAAAAATAAAAGTCTTAATATAATCCTAATTAAAATTTTAATTAAATATTAATCAAATCCTAGATCAAATCTTAATTTAAATTCTAATTGAACCTTAACCAAATCTTAGATAAAACCCTAATAAAATTTTAATAAAACTCTAAATCTTAGACAAATCCTACACAAGTTCTAAATCAAATCTTAAGAAAATTCTAATCCTAATTAAATCCTAAATAAAATCCTACATCAAATCCTAAACCAAATCTTAATCAAATCTTAGATCTTAAACAAATACTAAATAAATCCTATACTAAAATAAAACTTCAAAAATTAATAATTAAATTATTAATATCAATTTAAAATTTATTTAATTTTTAATATCTTAGTTAGGAACAAGTAAAAGAAAGATGAAATCAATCACACTTACTAATTAAAAGAAATATAAGATATTCCAATCAGGTATTGGGTAGCTTTCTAATCCAACTTGAATGTTGAACTTCTAGTACCTATCTCTTTTTTAAACTATTTAATTACTCTCAAATTTATTATAATATTTTAAAATAAGATTTTCTATAATATGATATTTTTTTCTTTATTTTATTTATTAGCCATATTACATCACAAAAATAAAAAAATTCAATCTATTTGAGGGTTATATTTTTTTTAACCATGTTTATCCTAAAATAATTGGATTAAAAAAAACTCTTATGTCATTAAATATTACTATGCTATTATAACCTTTAATTTCTACATCTAAAAGAATAGTTTTATGGATAATATCCCTATAAGACAATAAACAACCATCTATGACTTCTACATGTACAAGTTTAATTTTCTTGACTGAAGATATTTCTAGTTTCTTCATAAAGTCTTTATCTATAAAATAGACTGCGGCTTTTTAATCTAATAATGTAAAGACTTTGTGATTTTTAGATCCTAAACACACATCTATCATAAAATAAAGTAAGAGATTTGAAAAAAGAATATGACCTTTATTAGATGTTACATATAATTTCAATTGAAAATTTTTTATTATAGCTTGAGAAACTTATTTTTTGATATATTATCTTCTTTGGAAATTGTACTCTTCATTTTGTAACTTTGTTTCTTTTTTAAATAATATTAGATAGTGTATTTAGCTTCTTTAAAATATAAGTATAAACTCTCTTAATAACATCGAGTTTTTTCTTGCTTTGTGAGAAGTTTGAAATGTATCATATCAATTTGCATTGGTTTTGGCTTTGATGAATAAGTTTCTAAAAACTTAAGAATTGCCAACACTACTTAGCTTGTTCCTCTCTAATTAAGTCTTTGTTCTTAAAGCCTTTCAAATAATCAATTAAGCTTAATTCCTTCAATTACACAATTTCTTGACGTAGACTCTAAACTTCTTCCATAGGCATAAGATTAGTGTTTCCATGGTTGGTACTAATGATACATGAAATTTCTACTCTAAGAGTGTTGAAAAATTTGTAAATATCTACAATAGTTGCAAATCTATTCTTACTTCTGTCAAATGTAGCACCTATGATTTTTCTTTCGATTTTAAATAACTTAGCAAATCTACAATTCAAATAAGAAGAAGATAATCTGCAATCTCTAATATCAAATAAAAATTTCACAAAGAAAGATAATCCAATCTCTTTAGAAAAAAATTAGTACTAAAAAATTAAATAATTTATTTAAAGATGCATAATTTTTAACTTTTAAATTACAACAATAGAAGTGAGATAATTCACTCATTTCTAAAATACAACAAGAAAAATGAGTTGGCACTCTTGTCAAACTATCAAAGAAATAAATCTAAATAAATAAATAAATAAATCTTCAATATTCTCTTGTGACATTCAAAAAGACTAAAAAAATTACTCAAAAATGATAATATATTGAACTAGAATGGCTATTGCTAAAGACAAGATGATTTAAAAGTCTTGAAAAAAGACTAAGGACTAAAAGACATTGACAAGAGTGAAGAAGGCTTCACTCTTGCCTTCATATATGCTATTTAACTAAAAGTTAGGAGGTGATGTTTAATAGGACTTCCAAAACATGTAGATTTTACAAGATACATATTTTAACTTACAAGGAAATTTTTTTATATGTGCGCCACTTAATTAGCTTGTTCCACAAGTTATTAACACGTGTGATACATGTTCAATTTGTTGACTAAGTTTCTAATCCATCAATCAACTACAAATACATGTAAAATCAAAGTAATCTCTATGAAGCTTCTAAAAACCTATTCTAAAAGATATTATGAAATAAATATATTTTTATCTATTTCTATTTAATCATATAGATAAATATTAGAATACATATTTATATCCATGACAGATACATTACTAACTTATTGCAAAGTATTTGACCTACCAAATACCTATAAATACATATAATGTTGAAATCACATCTATAAAGCTTCTAAAAAATGTTTCTATAATATATTATTAAATTAATCTAACTTTATCTATTTTTACCTATTCATATTATTTAAGTAATTATTGGGATAAATATACATGTCCATAATATTAAAAAATAAAATTTAAACACTCTGTGATCCACCTCTTAGAACTTTAACTATTTTAACAAAATATATATACAAAATAAAAACAAGAATAGATGAAAAGCTCAATAAATTGAAAACTAGACCTTCTACATGAATCTTTTAATAAAATCTATATATATATATATATATATATATATCAATTATAAAAAAGTTTTTATCCTTATTTTTAATTAGAAAGCGATTTACTCTATTATTGTACTTGCCTCCAATCCAATCACAAATAGCCAATCTTCTATTTAGATGTTAAGACCACATTCTTACATTTACATGAATATACTAAAAGGCTTTTAAGACTACCAAATACAAAAATGTTTCTTTAATAGACTCAAATAAGCTCCTCATGCATGGTTTAAAAAGATCAATACATTTTTGGATGACCATGGTCTCTCTCCTATTGAAGCCGACTACAATTTATACTACCTTTGAGACTATTAGGGAGTCACATTTTTTATTCTCTATGTCAATGACCTCTTACTCACAGGATCAAACTTAGAAAAATTTCCAAGGTTCAAGACAAAACTCATGCAAAGATTCAAAATGTCGGATCTAGGAAATATCACCTATTATTTGGGAGTAGGGTTCATCCAACAGCCGGAGGGAATCTTCCTTTTCCAACAAGCATATGCCTCCCATATATTGACAGAATTTGATATGCAGGATTGCACACTGTCAACGGAATCCATGGCAGAAGGTTTGAAACTTAGTAAAGATGAGAGTGCATCCCTAGTTGATGCCAAAAAGTTTCAGAAACTTATTGGTATGCTGATCTACTTAGTCAACACAAAACCTGAGATTTTCTTCGCCACGGGGGTACTCAGCAAGTTCATGCAAAGTTCAAGAGTGTCCCACCTTCATGCGGCTAACCAAATACTCAGATATGTGAAAGGAGCACTAAATCTCGGGATCTTCTACAAACATAGCAAAAGCCCTACCATGTTGGGCTTTACAGACTCAGACTAGATCAACTGCCAAATTGATCAAAAATCCATCATGGGATGGATATTCAAATCAATAGGTGGTCTAGTCTCATGGGCATTGAAAAAACAATCAATAGTGGCTGTATCCTCCATTGATGCAAAAGCCCAAGCCCTGGCCAAAGGGATCAGAGAAGCAATATGGCTTCAAACACTATCCTTCCGAATTCAGGGCACAACTCCAGACCCCCTCTCGTTATTCTGCAACAGCCAAAGCACACTCAAATCGGCACGCAATCACGTCTTCTATGATAATCAAAACACATGGAGATGTGGTTCCATTACGTCCGAGACAATGTGCTTACAGGGGTATAAATCTCTTTTCTGTATCCACCGTAGAACAAATCGCAGATCGTCTCACTAAATCATTGGAAAAACAACAATTCACTAAGCTTCAAGAAGAGATGGGCATACGAGATCGAAATACGCTAATGTAAGTCACCTCGTACACTCAAACTTTTTGAATTCCTTGTATCTAGCCCCTTTGTATCCGCGGACTTGCTCCTCGCACTCTGACTAAGACAAGTATACACCAATCTTTTATCCGCGAGACACACCATAGAACTTCTTTGACAAAATCACGGAGCTACTCCCTAACAAACAATTTGCCTGTTGGTCATCCTTGTTAAATTCAACTCGCTGTTTACTCTTGACACGCTCATCCTTTTCTACCTCAGCATTCCAAAAAAAACAATCCAGAAACCAATCATAACAACGGTGGAATGTGGCGATGAAGAACCACAAACCGAACAAGATGCACCAAAACTGAATAAACAAAACAATTTCACAAGTAAGATCAAAGCTTTCAACTCAAGCACTATCAAAAGGAAAAGCAAAAGAAAAGAAAAAAAGAAAGGAAGTCACATGCCTACCACCGACAACTCATCAGTATCCCAACGATCCAAGAATCTCGGCCGACGACCAGCCATCTCCTCGAACTTCACATCGAACAAAAGCACAACTACAGAGCAACATTCCCCAAATCATGAAAGACTCCAAGGGCGAGGGGGCGTCAGAATATCTCGCTTAGGGTCTTAGGGTATCAAACACAATAACAAAGTGATCTGTATGTACATCCATGATCACTGTGCATCCAGTCATTGGACTGAGTATATGTGGAGCTCCTGCATAGTGGAATATCAGCTTTTTGATCCATTACGATTGATATTGAAAACTTTTTCGATGCAATCAGCTTGTGTCTGAACACATATTATACTGATTCCTGAACCATCACACCACCAGGTAACAAACAGTTTTGAAACGAGCTCGGGATGCCAGCCAAGTAAACAATTCGAAGGTAGAAAGCAGCTCAACTTGTTCCTCCGATTATGTAATAACCAATTGAAGATGGATATTGTGGTAATGAAAGAGACTCTTGAAAAATGTTAGTAGGGCCTGTCCGTAGGAATTGGACGAATTAGGACCTTAAACCTCACATGCACAAACAAACCCACCCGTATGAGTATTAGCCCCATAAGGAAAGGGAGAAGTCAGCAACAGGTTTCAGAACGGTTGTGGATAACGAAGGGGAATTGAAATGGGATGGGATCGACGGATCAACGTCGACAACGCGACGAAGATTTCCGCTCTCAGCGAATAAGGGCGGAAGATAATATTGATGAACTTTTACGTCCAATATATAAACGAGAAATGGGCGTTTCTGGACGTTGCTGTCGCTTCGACGGAGCGTTGTGGTCTGTGGTGGCGTTGTGTGTGTGTTTGTGTTTCCCTGCTCTCGGCTCTATTGTGTCTGGTGCTCTTGCATCGTTTTCCTCCGCTCTGCTTCTGTCTTTAGGTGTTGTCTCCATACCTGTTAGACACTTTCTTTGCAAACGCTTTCGCTGCATCGACGCAGTGTATCACCTTTACTTTCCGTCTCTTCTTTCGTTGTTGTTCCTTGCTCCGTTTCGACTCGCGCTGATTGCTTTCGGACCACGAGCTAATTCGACACTCCCTTCGGATTTTTTCTCTGTCGAGATTAAGCACCGGCTTTTTCTGTACTAGGTTGTTTCTCCGACTCCTACAACTTCCGAGTGTTTGCTGGGACGATCATTTATTAGGCTCTTATCCATTGTTGGGGATGCGAGTGCTGGTAGTCGAGTTTCGATATGAGCTTCGAGTTGATTGCAATGCCTGTTGATAGTATTGGCGATAGGAATTGGCATTACGGATTGTCGAGTGGCCCGTTTCGACGACTATCAAAGCTAGGGTTTCAGTGTGGAGTTCGTGTTTTTAAAGTTTTGATACTCGGATCTTGAGGTGTGTGCGTTATTCAACACAGGCATCATGACGAGCGCATTGGACATGTCATTGGACGACCTGATTAAGACCAACAAGAGTGCTACCCGAGGTGGTAGGGGCGGTGGCGGTGGTCGGGGAACAGGTTCTGCGCCTCAGCGAGGAAGAGCGACCATTGCTGCTGGTACTGCCGGGGGCTATTCTGGAGGCAAAATTTCTGGTCCAGCCCGCAGAGAAGTAGGCCGGGCGGTCGCCCGGCCAACGCCTTACGCGAGCGCAAAGGCAAGCAAAGCGGCATCCCCTTACTCACTTAATGGCAATGGCAGACTTTGAAAGAGTTTTTAGTGATAGGGAAACAGAAGGAGGAAAAAAGAAAAAAGAAGAAAGAAAAATTATAGAAAATTGTCAAGCTCAAAGAGACTTGAGGAATCAATAGCTTGAGTGAGAAAAGCGTCTGGGTTTGATATGAGGCACGGGCCAAGCTGTGATAAGGAAGACGTTTACTGTTTCAAGTGAGCAGGGTTTGGTGTTTTGGATGTCAAAAATGAAGGGTGGATATCTGTTGGAGACCCTGTGGACGTGCTGTGCCTGTAGTTCATCTTCGGCTGGAATGCTGAGGGCCTAATTTGATGAATTCCATTCAATCAGCGCTTTGACACATTCATGTTGGGCCCCTCTACTGTGACGCACTTGTTCTGAGAGGAGGTATCCATATCTAAAATTTTCAGGATGTGGTTTGCCTCTTCTGCAGCGTTTGTAGTACGTGTGCTGTGTTTATGCTGTGTATCGACATGTTGGTGAGGGTTTGACTTTTTTCTGAAGACAGCGTTTTCTTAAGAGTATTTATGCTGATGGTCTCTCTGGGTGGGTGCCAACTGCCAATTATATGTTTCTCTTTGTGAACAGCGAGTCCGTCAGGCTCAGGATTCGGCTTTTCAGTACACAAACCACTTTATTCCGGCAGTTGGCAGAGGAGTTGGTGGGGGTATCGAGACAGGGACCAAGTTGTACATTTCCAATCTTGATTATGGAGTCTCAAACGATGACATAAAGGTAGGGTTACGCAGTGCTACCTTTCTGCTAACCGTTGTAGGCAACGCAACCTTGTAGGTGTCGGGTTCCTAAGATCTAAGTGCATAATTTTGATTGCGATGTTGTCTATGACGTCCTTGTTGGCTCCGATGTGCGTTGTCCTCGTCACTGTTTTGTACCTGACCGCAATTCTCGTTCCCTTTCTAGATTCCCAAGTGTGTATTTTCAAATTAATCTTTCAAGGGATGTGTTTCATGCGTTTCCTCCTATGTTGTGTTATTGTGATCTATTCAGGAATTGTTTTCAGAAATCGGTGATTTAAGAAGGTGCTCTATTAACTATGATCGAAGTGGTCGTTCTAAGGTGAGACATCTGGGCTGTTGTATCTTTTGCTCGATCTCTTCTTCTCATTGGTATATATGCTCAAGAATTTCTTACAATCCTGAAAAGTTTTACTTCAGAAGTTTCTCAGAATGTATCCTGTTGTGTTATCTCACTTTCAGTTGCACAGTACAAGACGTAGAATGTGGTTTGTCTTAGCTGTTACTGTTGGCTATGCTGCGCATGATCAGGGAACTGCGGAGGTCGTATTCATGAGGAAACCTGATGCTTTGAATGCGGTCAAGAGATATAATAATGTCCAGTTGGATGGGAAGCCAATGAAGATTGAGATAATTGGCACAAATGAAAATTCTGTCTCAATTCCATTTGCACGATCCAATGGAGCTATGGCAGTTTATGCTGGTCGTGCGCGCGCCGTCTATCCACAATCGTAAGTTTTGTCAGTTACTATTTCAAGTATTCCTACCTGTTTTCATTACAACAGGTTTAGAGGAGATCCTTGTGTAATGATTTATGATAGAAGATGACATTCTTACAGATATACTCTTGTGACGTTCCACTACTTGCTTGATGTGCTGCGAGGAGATATCTTGTATAAGCCCGTGGTTGGATGGAAATTGACAAAATCCAGACTTACTGTGACTCTTTACGTTGTGTATAGCTAATACATTGCCTTGAGCAGGACTTCTGCTGCCTTGACTTGGATAACTTATATTCTCCAAGTAGCTGATTTTCCTCACTTATCGCAGATCCTCCCACTATAAGAAATGATTTTGAATAGCAGTGCTTACGCAACTCACGCCTCTTATGGATAAGCTGTTGTGATATTTGTGTAGTTTGCCCTTCGCACGGGGTTCAGGATCCGAACGAGGTATAGGCGCATTTAGAGGACGAGGCGGCAGGGGTGGCGGTAGAGGTACTGTAAGCAGAGGCGGAGGCCGAGGTGGAGGAAGAGGTGGTGCCCCTGCTGCAGAAAAGACTCTGGAAGAATTGGATAAAGAACTAGAAACATATCATGCAGAAGCTATGCAAACAAATTAAGGGAATAAAAAAGTAGGAACTGTTCATGCTTCAGTCTGGTTGAGCCGCCTGTTTGCTGGTCCTTGAAATCTTGCATACGGCACCTTCCTAAGATCTTAATCCTCAGTAGTACATTTTAAGGTGTTGGATTTGAGCGTAGCGAATACCTTTGGATGACTCCTTCGTAGCCAGTGACGTGGATTTCAGTGATGATATATGCTTGTCTCTCGTTTTACTTCAGTTGTGCCGTGAACAACATCTCGGTACTGATCTCTCTCGACGATATAACTTCTTGGGATTCGGGACTTTATCCAATATCCAGGAATGTAGAGAAAATGATGTTCAATTCAGTTTACAACTGATGAATTCTAAAACTTTTGTCTCACAATAACCTGAATGTCACAATGTTGTGTAACACTTTTTCGCATTCATGTGAGAAGCTTTGCTGAACAATTTCTAGCACTTGTGAGTTTTCATGGGGCTTGTAGCTGATTCTGGAAGTTTCAGAACTATATTATTTTTAATCATCTATTAGCAACTAAAAGTACGAACAAGACGTGTGCTTTTGCAACATTCTTCTTAAGTGTGACATATCAGTCGCGGTGGCATCTTCAATGATGGTAATGTGTTGAAAGGTGAAAGCGTTTTAGATTCCAATGAAACAATGCGAACAGTATCCTTCTTAGAGTGAACATCTACCATTGCCCTTTAGCTTATGGCTTGTTGAGATATGCCTCCTGAATCAGTTTTTAGTAGCGCAGAAATATCTATTGATTGTCCTTTCTAAACCTGCAATTGCGTATTGAGAAGAGATGTCACACTCGCTCAGTTTGCTCAATTAAAAATTTTAAATAGCAATGTTTACGAGGTAAATATGACTTCTTTACAGTCTACAAGCTGCAACATGCGGCTCAGATTATATCTGCCCGTTATTCGAGTATCCGGAGCAAGACTGCGTGGGAAGCATCGTGTTCATGCTTCACACACCGCAGTACCTTCAACGCACTCAGTGGCGAGCACAGCAACAACTTCTGCTAACGATGCTTGATTCATCGATCGTTTGAAGTTTGCTTTTAGCTCTCGGGGAGATTTAATGGGTGCTTCAATTTCATGCTTAAGAATGCGGTCGTTTTTAGGTGCTCAGGAGCGCGCAATTACCGCCAGTGTCACCGTCATCGCAGCTGCTCCACCCATGCTGTAAAACAATAATGCCCACACAGTCACTCCCCCATTGCACCACATATCACACCAACCTTCAGAGTTGAATACATTTTCCAGTGAGCACAATCCCGACTATAAACGTCTTCTCGATTCGCACGGACTCCGCTCTGTACAGGAGTCTGGAGAAATTTGGACTTAAAATGAACCATTTGATAGGTTCCAATAACTACAGAATTGTTCCCTTAAGAGCAGGCCATCGAAGGCACCCATCTATTAACATGAGAGATATATTGGTCTCGTCAATGCTGGCTCACCTGCTCTACACCTTTAATTGATCTTTACACAAGGGTCAAAGCAACGTTGGTATGACTGAGAACAACCAGTGGTCAGTATCCTCGATAATAAAGAACAGGTTTCGATGACGCGGTACAGAGGCTCATGGAGATAGTGATGAATCGACGAAGAAGGCTCCTCGTCTCCTCCAAGATGACTAGCTTCATTAAGTTCAATTCGTGTCCAAACATAGTTGATCTAAGTCATTGTTATTGAATGTTGTTTACCATGCATTTGCACGAGGTCTATAAAATCCTATACAGGTAAGAATTCTGAGAGAAAATTCTCCCATAACATGATCAAAACGCTCAATGTGTTCTCCAAATAGTTGTCTGAACTGCTCAGAAAAAAAAATGAGAGACACGGTGGCTTCTGTACACCTTCGTATGACGAACGATGAAACGACATAGTCGCCACACCATATTGTTCAGGAAAACTTCAAAAGAAGTTGGCTCGATTATCAGTAGAAGCTCAACATACCCGAATGTACATTTCTACCACATTGCCCAGATCAATTCTTCGTAGACTTCTTCGAGACCCCAATAACCCTACTGTGAAATTTTACGTACATAAACTAAATCACCAAGTGAGAGATTGGTAGGAATCTGGACATGACAATTCGTACGTTGCAGCTATCGTCTTGCCTAAAATGATTACAGCTACTAAAAGTGGGCTTGTGCTCCACTATATGCTGAACAAACTGCACGATAGTATTAGTGACCAACTGTGGTCGAGCTGGACGTTAGAAAATCAGCAGCTTCCGAGCAGAGTCGCATCATCCAAAGAGTAATTTGCTTACAATAACAATAGAGTTCGCAACGATCAGCGGAACTGCAAAACACCCCATCCCACCCAAGGTATCAAAAAGTCGAACTCTGTACACCACTGTCGTAAGATCGAAGGTCTCAAGCTCATCGTGTGAAAACATAGCAGCTTCCACATGAGCGCATCGATCTGACGATAACTCCGATATGTCCACCACAAACTCCAGACACAAAACGAACATCCTCATTGCTCAAGCAACGAGCCCCAGACAACCCTAAACCCCATCGCCAAACGGCAGAGGAAGAAAGGTTCTGTAATTATTACCTCGCAAATACTGCACAGCGTGTATTAGCCCAATCAACTGACCCTTGAATGGTGATACCCTCCCACTTCCCATGTCGATCATACCAAAGCCATCTGCCAAACCAAAACTCCATGAGTTGTCGAAATGTACAATACTCACATCTACATGAAGAAAAGAAAAAAGAAAAAAGAAAAATAAACCCGATAAAAAGGCGAAACTAAACATTTTGCACAAGGTTAGTAGCGAATAACGCAGAAAATAAAACAAAATAAAATAAAATAAAATAACTAAGACAGAGTGACCAAGTGCAGGGGGGTGGGGCATAGTGAGAGCAAGAATTACAAGGAGCCAGGAAGCGATCCTCGTTAAGAACAGCGACAGCATTAGTCATCAACAGCAAGGCTTCGACAATCTGATACAAACCCATCGTGACAGGACACGACGTCGCAGAAACACAACAGCGACCCGGATTCTTCTTCTGCTCACACGCGAGCAGTGCCGAGCCAGGCTTCCCTCCTTCGTTCAGATGTTTAGGGTCTCTCAACATCGACCCGGAGCCTCAAACGTGTTGGAGGTGACCGCGAGGAAGAGGGAGGCAAGGGGTGCCACTGTGGAGTGGGGTGCCACCATGGCAGCTGACTCAGCTTTGAGAACCCCTTTCTTCCATGTCATCAATACTGCAACCCCCCCTCCCTTACAATTACAAAATGGAGTTTTTTTTTTTTTTTTTTTTTTTTTCTTGATTGTTGTGGTAGGGATTACTCTGCATTACCTATATGATACTGATGCATTAAATATGGCATTTTTTGTAATACTCGTGACATTTAAAACAAATTATAGTTAATATAGGCAATTAATAACAAAGTTTGTGTATTTGTATTAATATACTTATTTATTCATCTATTTTCTATCATTTCTTTTATTTTTTAAAAAAAAAGTTTAAAACATCAAATATTTGAAGAAATATTTTAATTGTGTTAATACATAACAGAAAAATTTGTTCAACAAAGAAGCTTAACAAGAATCCTGATTATTAAATGCAACTTAATATATAATTTTGCATTTAACTCGAATTAAATTATTCTTTTTATGTAATTTTTTTCACATATATGTATATATATATATATATATATAGAGAGAGAGAGAGAGAGAGAGAGAGAGAGAGAGAGAGAATGTCTCTAGGTGTTGTTTTTATATTTGTTATGATATTAAAAAAATGCAAGTATGTCAGATCAACATTAAATAGATATGAATAAATACAGCTGTTATCGGCTCCTCTCAACTACAAGATGCAATTTCACCACGCAGAAGAGTGCTACAAAAGAAACCAAGCAACTAAAGTTCATGAAACGAATAGCAGGATCTGCTCAATGTTTGTGAAACATGTGATAAATTCATTCCTGATTGTCAGATATTGCCAAAAAGGTACCCAACATGCCCATTCCGTGAATACTCAAGGGCACAGTTCCTTCTGAGAGAAACTAAAACATAATAAATATATCAAAAAGTTGTCCAACTTATCTAACCATCCTGACTGATTCCAATGAGTAGTAGATTAAATGAACCCTATTCAGCTAATGTGCTGTATCAACTTGCAACCCACTAACTAACATTTTGCAGTGCACCCCATATCTGGTTGTACATATCCTTGTACAAAATCAGAACCACTACAAGACCTAAGATATGCTGTTCCAATGGAGTTGGCATCAATCCTTCCTAGAGAGCATCTCTCTGTATATACTGTGTGACAACAGACACTTGATGTGCTACTAGATTGTTCCATGGTCTGCGCTTTAGACATCTAGAAGGTGAGGAATGGACTGCTTACTGGCCTGTGGGTTGTCCCCAAACACCTTGACCCCTAGCGAGCAAAGTTGCGAACAAGAGCTCATTCCATGTATCAGGTACTCCAGGTAAACAGAAATGGCTACAATCTTGACGGTTCTTCGGCGTTGGTCCCATAAGTTTCACATTGTTTGCGTACAATCCCGAGTGTCCATCAGACCTGTAGTTTGTGAGCGTTGTGACATCCATGTACTCAACAGCACTCCTCTTCATCTTTATGTTCTGGTGGATTGCATCCTCAATGTATTTGTTGGTCCAAGGTATTTTCTGCATTGTCAGAACCTCTTCGTCGGTCAGTGGCTTGACCTCTTCGTGGCAATGCCCTCCACTTCTCCACGTTCCTCCTCTGCAACAAGAATGACCATCCAAAGTCGTAAGTGCGATGCTGTAGTGAGAAGACTAAGTACTAGCACGGGAATGGAACTCATTTGAGACTTTCTCAGCTTGTGGCAGATCCGCTAAAATCTGTCAAAAGTCATTAGACTTCTCCTGATCAGCGAGAAGCGCATTAAGTTATAGAAATCAAGCGTTTTCTATTGATTGATCAAGAACTCGGAAGATTGCACACTTCCGTCTTCTCTCTTTGATTGTCAGCGTTCTTGTGTATACAATGACCCTCAGAGAACCTCGAGCATAATTGAGGATTCCTTGTGCAGCAAAAGAAGTTTAACTTCTACCTAAACATCAAAATACATAGTTGAGAATGTCAATGGGGGAGTCACGTGGCTAGTGTACCTAAAATGGATTGACGCAAAACTCCGAAAAAATACTTGGGTTTTCATAGGATCAATATTTTTTTCCATCCATGATGCCCAAGTTGTTAGCGCAATTCTGAACGCCTCTTCAAAGCCATGGCTTGTAACATTTTTCTCCACTTGAAACGCGCCACCTCTGCAAGGACGTTATCAATCCAACTACTCTTTTCCAACTGACAATTTAAGAAACAAGAAGCTCAAAAGCGCACAATCCTAAGATAAGCGAGTCAATACATATCTAAATTTACCACAAACCTCAGGAGATAAGTGAATATAGTTAGGAGCGACATCTTACTGGCGCCCGATCTTTTCCCAGGACCACCAGTGGCCTGAATTGAATACCAAGATGCTGGCGCCAGGCCACCTGCTAGCACTCCACGAGACTCGATCGATTTGGAGTACGTTTGTCACATTTTCTGGTGCATTCCGAGGTGGTCGGGTTTGAGGAACAAGAAAAGGATCTCTGTAATACTCCACAGTACAGTTGTAGTCCTGGAATCGGAATTTCAGCTCACCAGTGTGCTTAGTTATAGGTTGGCCATCGATTTCGTAAATCCGAGATTTGTTCTGCACACCCTCTGCGAGCATGCACAACATAGATTCCCACTGATTTCGCCCTAAAGAGTCCCCGACAAACACTAGCCGTTGATTTCGCAACCTCTCCAACATGTCCTTTGCGTTGAATCTGCAAGAATAGTTTTTCCAAGAATCAGTTCTCTGGGAGGATCGTGTGTTCAATCATCAAGGAGAGTTAACCCCAACACAGACGACAGTACAGGTGTGCAATGTGCCATCTACTAAAGGAAAGAGATGATTGTGATAGCGTGAATGAGAGTGATGGTACAAGCTAGTTGCTTCTGCACATGACCCTCATATCGAGCACTCCGTTCCTAGCAGAATAGTAGGCACAACGTACGCAGGCAGGGCCCTACAGGTAGTTTACATCACCGGAATTGGGGGGACTTTACACAAAAAGGCACTTGACGATTGAGTTAATGCCAGATATCAAGGACAAGCTAGTACACTCCTTGCTCTCGACACATTGACCTCTTTCAACCATAATACTAAGAGCCTTGGTGAAGGGCATCGTCAACCGAACAGGGAAAATTGCAAACCTGGGCAAGTCACAGTCATGAGGTTGCCAGCGGTACTTCATGTAGTCCGTGTCAGGCCGCCCGTTTTCTTCACACCGAAATCCTGCATCCAAGAAAGGGCAATTCCTGGACCTGTACAGTGGATACATCTCGTCATACACCCATTTTCCATGGGCGATGTCACAACGGCCTAAGACTTCACGATCTCCGTCCTCCGTCCCTTTGCCACCTGGTGTCGCTGAAACTTCATGCTCCTTCGAAACTGGAGTGTGAAATTTGATCCCACCATCATTGAGTCCAGAGCAATGTTCTTCTTCTGTGACGAAATTATTACCAGTAGCCTTTCCTAACTCTACATCTTCAGAGGTATCGTTGGATTCTACCTCCGGCTGGTCAACACTCCTTGTGACTGAAATAATTTGTGTCGCTGGTGTCATTCGCGAACCAGTGCTCTCTCCCGACTCGTGGCTGGATAATGAAGTGGCACCCAAGCCCCTCTGCAACACAACAGGCTCATTGCCAATGTTGACGAAGAATGTACTTCCGTCAACATACATGAGACATAATAAGAGCACTCCTATGCTACAAGCTAAGAGCAACGAGACACCCAGCACATTGCTATTATTAACCCTTCTAAAAAAACTTCCACTCCCTCGCAGCTCCGGCTTGCTTAGGAATAGCTTTGAGGCCATTTGGAATCAATCTGTGGTCTACTTTTCACAGTAATTCAATCTCCTTCAGAGAAACATCACCGACGATTGAATCCGCCCAGCCCTATCTTGAACTTGCGCTATCAGCAGAATATGTCAAAGGCAATCGTTTCATCCCCACGATTTACAGTACTAGTTTGTCACTTAGTCTGCAAATCAGAGGCACCACAACTCTAAATTGCTGCACTGAGTGGTCCTGTCCCATCATGAATGAAGTCTCTTGGCTGCTAACCGTGAACCTTGGGCTAATAGACAGCGCCGCGACACCTGCTGCAGCATCATAACGCTCAAAACAACTTTTTTCTCCTTGTCTTCTCCCGTGTTGCTCTCAAAGACCACGAGGGTAGCGTCAGCGGTAATGCGTCGTAAGGTTTGCCAGGTGCTAATTCATTCGTTTAAATGCAGAAGCGAGCAAGTTAAACTTCACAGACACTTTGAAGATCCTGAGAGAAACACACAAAACATGGACTATCCTCAACAATTAGCAACTTTGTTAATGCGCAGTAGGTGGTACCCACAATCTCCGTCCCACCTGTAGTGTCTAAAGCAGATCCACAAAGCTTCACCAACTTTCACAAATTATCAAGCGAGGAGATACAGTTAACTCTAATCATGGACTTCTGTGAGGATTCAAGTGGCCTTTAATAAGCTTCTGCAACTTTTCAATATGAGCCTGGACTCCGGAAAAAGCATTCATCTCATCTACACCTATCGAAGATCTATCCGCATTGGACTAATAAGAGTGTATGTTTGAACCACACCAACACAACTCGGAGAGACACTTCGGGACCGTCACGTCAGCGTCGCACCAACTGGAGATTTAGACCGAGCTGTCCCTAGTTCACAAATCCTACTTACTAAAATGCAGAAAAAGACGAGAGCGCTTTCATTTCTATTTTACAAGATTGGTTAATATAGGAGAGTTCCGCTGTATAGCTAATGACAGTTTTGCATGATGACCTATTATTAGACTCTTCCTATGCGCAAGGCGAGCAATTTTCAAGGGGTAGGTCCTAGAACAGTACGGTACTTGGGGGAGGACTTTCTATTAGGACCGAAATGATCGTGGCAAGCACAAACGAAACGCACATCGATTCCTTCGAAATTAGATAAACGTAATGGAGCCATGGTATCCATCGCACGCAGTAACGGTGTGCAAAAGTTTTCTTATGGAGGCGTCTGCAATGTACTCTCGGCTTCAACTATTTGGAAAACTATGTGGCGCGACACATCCCAACGTGAGAAAATTTCTCGAACAGATCAGACTGAGCCCATCAAAAGCTCAATTCAGTGAGTAAAGTTTCGCACGAAGAAACTACAAAGCACTTGGGAGCAAAAAAAAAGGAAAAAGAAAAAAAAAAAAAAAAAAAACTGGCATTAGCGATTGCATACTACGCGAAGTTCACATGTAGGCAGCTGTAAAACACCTCTTGTATGCATACACAAAAACTCTCCCAAACCTTACGATAACCAACATCCTTGTGCTTAGATTATTAAGCGTTACACTTACCTGCGCACTGATACTTCGAAAATACAGCGCAAGCTACATCACTCTGAATTACTGCAAGAGTGACATCTCCGTCACAAAACATGGTACTCAATCGAGACGAGTCCCTGAACAACTGCACACAAAAATTCAACTTCACCTCCCAATCCTCGTCAATATCCACGAACATTGTTCACTTTCCTCACCATGAAAGCTCGTCAATTCATTATTGAATCCGCCTTGATCTTCAACCCACATGCTCGCACTGAAAACTGGCCAGGTGACGAGAAGGAGGAGAAACTAGAGTACTCTCTCACGAGCACGCGCGGCACCGCATGCCCAGACCTTCGGACGACAAAACTGACCAGCCACACCGGCAACGATCACTAGCTGCAGATTGAACAGCAGGATACAACTTCAAACTCAGTCACCACTAGCTGTAGATTGATTAGTGCCATACAACCTCAAAGAGGATGCTGAAGGGGACGAGAAAAATATATCATAATTTGTGGAGGTTACTAATGGAGGCACAAGGAGCAGAAAAAGGCTGCCTCTTCCTCAAGACTTTGTCGTAAAATCAGAGTTAGTACCAGTGAAACTTATACTGCACTTCAACTAAGATCCTATTTTCCAACTAACACACCGAGAGCTCATTAGATTACTGTAATCTTATTGACTCATACTGTTTTAGTGGAGAAATTAACGGGGACACATGTGTCTGGTCTCACTGCCACATCACTTGATCTTCCGACATTATCGATTACCAGCTGCGACGATGGTTTTACTGCGCATCGTGGTAGTCCACGGATTGAAATCACAGGTCTGTGCGTAAGGACCAGCAGAGAGCGAGGAGGAGAGGCGCAGTAACATTTGCGACGAGGAATGCATGCAGACAACGACGATCACGCGAGCGAAGCAGCAGCATCTGCCGGGTGGGAGGGAGGGGGAGAGCCTCTCTTTCTCTTTTGTTGAAAGAGAGGCCTCGGCATGATGTTGCATGGCTCTCCCTCCACCTACACGCGTACCCCTTTGGCTTCCATATTTGGCTTTTTTTTCACCACCAAGTCAGTCTTTTCGATTCAATTATTTTCATGACTCTGAATATACTTTGTACCGCCTAATCATGTATTACTTTACCAACAGTTCGCTTTTGGAATTGTAACTTCATGAATTGTATACTTTTCTTTTCAAAAAGAAAAGTAGAGAAAACTTTTCCAAAAACAGCAGCAGCGGCTTCAAGCCACTCTTCTAGGTCTAGCGATATCTTTCCATGCACCTCATAAGTGCTTATTTCTGATCCTTGATTTCTCTAAAGCAGAGAGAGAATTCACATCATCTCTTTTTCTTTTTCTTTTTTCAAACCGTTCAAAGGTGTTTTCTACTTTGCTTCATTGGGGTAGCAAATTAATACAACTTTGTTGTTGTGAAACTTCACCCCCTCTTCAAGGAAAAGAGAGGAAAATAGTTGAAGAGTAGAAATTGAAACTAAATAAAGAAAGAATAAACAAGTAAAGAGGATAGATGTTTAACCATGGGTTACATTTGAGGATAAATTATGGGATATTTATTTCGATAAAAATATATATATATATATATATATATATATATGTATATATATTGAAAGACACACCTTTTCACCTCAATGTGGAATTATCTACCAAACAAGTAGAACAGGTGATTTTGAAAAACCACAAACACATAGTAAAAGGATTCCAGTTGGAGGTCTCAGAGAATGCTTCACATTTTTAGCAAAGTCACCTAGCATCAAAAGTCATGCAAGTGGTAATTTGTATGCATATGTGTATTCCATATATATATATATATATATATAAGCATTGAAAACACATAGGTTGATGAGCTCAATTGTGCACGAGGTGAGACATGACATGAAAAATACAACCAACCATCATCCATAATGAGAATTTGGAATGGTAAACCAAACTCCTAAGGTTAAAATAGTAATGACAGGGCATGAACCCCCTCTTCCACTTGGCAGGTAGGTATCACGCATCAGCCAAGAGTGCACCTCACTGGTGTCATCACACCTGCTCATCCATCCATCCACTCATCCATCCGTGGCTGTCAGTGCCCTCGTTTCTAGGAGCTACCAAAAGGTCTCCCTCATCAAATGAGCTCGGCGAAAAGCAACACTAAAGCAAGCAGAGGAGACCCTAGTAGACCTACAGAAGTAGTAGATGGGTCCTATATCAATACATAGCGGCAAAAACGAAGGACTAGGACGAGAAGTCGGAGCTGGCCATGGAACCCTTTCTCACTCTTTTGCCCGGATTGGACTTTTAAGAAGAATCATCTCAGCTTCTGCTCCTCGCAATTATGCATCTGGAATTCTCACTATTGGTTGCTGACATGTTTCATAATTCTTCATTGTTCTGGAAAACAATGGGATCTGGCGGAGGAGTAAATGCAATAGAATGGTTGTTTTGTGTTCTTTTAATGACCCTGCTCCTTAATCCCTTAATCATTGCTAAGCCAAAAGCATAAAAATATCATATATATATATATATATATTAGAAAGCAATAAAATAGTTACATTGCCATCTAAAAGACGCTAAGGAATTCCAAGTGGAGGAAGGGGGTGGTAAGATTGTTTTCTGGGATCTTCTTAGCAAAAGAAGCACATGCAATGCCCTTATAGCATAATGTGTGCCATCTATAGTAAAGACATAGGATATTTTTATAAAAAATTGTAAGGACTTTAGCCACTCCAGTATTAACTTGGTAGAATAGTGATTGTATATATTTTAAAATTAGATCTGAATAAAATATTTGTATTTTGTATTAATTTTTATGTAGGTGTGTAATCTTGTAGTAGTCATATATATATATATATATATAAACACATATATGTTGCAAATTAGGCTACATGAAATATTAAAAATAAAAATGATCTAATCTATAAGAGAATTAAACCTTTGGAAGACCTTATAGCAATGAGCAATATTTGTAGGCAAACTAATTCGTAGATTCAAAAGATTTAAAATTCTTTATATATATATATATATATATATATGTGTGTGTGTGTGTGTGTGTGTATTACTTTGTAAAAATTTGCTTTTAGGAAATATAGACTTTAAACAAGGAGAATGTTCAATAGACCCATGCTTTTGCTAAATAGACCCATCCTTGATGAAGAATATGGTAATCATGATGAATGTGGTTGCTTTTTATTAGTTGCAGATCCAATAATGGGGAAATGAATCTAGAAATCATTATTTTTTTTCATGAGAATGGGTGGGTTGATTTAGTAACATCTTGGGTCTATTTAACATTCCTCTTAAACAATTACCCAATTTTTCACACAAAATTTTAGAATAATATCCACACATGCTAATTAATTGAATTCATCATTCTCAAATACAAATAATCCATGTAGATGGACACTTAGTAAAACAAGTAAAAATATTCAACAACAGAAGATTTCTTAGACAAGAAAAATTCTTGTATTCTAAATGTTTGGCATAAGACTATAGATTAAATATTTTGGAACACCAAAAAAAATGTTATAAAAAATCCAAATACCCACAAACTGGATTAAGTGTGAGTTACATAATAAATTCATATTTTGAATTTAGATGTTGTGCCTACTCTGTTTTTTTAGCAATGATGAAATCCCAGTTACGCCAATAACAAACACACCATAAAAAACAAGAAAAAACAACACTTGGGGATAAGGCAAGATGATGCCAAAGTTGGTTCAATGTAATTGATGTTTGCCTGTCTGCTTGGAGGAAGGCCATTTTCCTGCCTAGCTTTTTGAGGTTTGTACTTATATGCCAACCAGTTTTGTGGACGCTCGTGCCAAGAATCAAATCAAAGGAAGAAAAAATATAATCATTCTTATTTGATATTATGATATATATATATATATATATATATATATATAAATATAAACACTCAGTCATGCATAGATGTGCAAAAGAGTGTGTGGAATCATATCATAGCATATGAAGAGGTACTCAGTCAATGTTATGAAACATGAACTAACTGAATAAAAAAGCCATGATTCAAACATTGTAGTGTGTCTCTGTAAAGATTGACAAAGGTGTACTTCAACACTCTGTATCCATGTCTATGATTATGAAAAAGGTGTCCTTCATTTGATCCATGCATGTACACATATGCACCCAAAAAAAATAAATTCCTAAATTCATACAGCCTGAAGCCAAGTCTATGACAAAGGTTAGACGTCATCAATGAAAAACACCTTTCAAAACTTAAAAATGATTATGCATTATTTTGATTGTATTCCAATGAAACCATAAATATGCATATATATAGTACTTGACATAAAAAAATACTAAATATTTTATTTACAGAATAAGTTTGTATTTAGTGATTTTGGTGTTTTATTTTTATTTTTCAATGTTTCCATATCAAGTTGAAAACCATCAATCAATTGCAAGGAAAATACCAAAATACAAAATGAACATTTGAAACATTTGAACAAATGAAACGTTTTAAATTTTAATAGATGTATGTGTGAAAAACTTTTTCTATTTTTACTTCAATTTTTATATAGTAAACACATACATGTATAAATGGATACATTTATACAAAATGAGAGGAAAAGATCCTTAAAGCAACACTTCTATTTCAAACTTCAATAATGCAGAGAATATTCTAGTACAATTATTGAAGTTCTTGAAAATATATAAGTTCTATATAAGTTGGAATCGACACTAATATATTATTATCCCATCAGAGTGGCGCAGCGGAAGCGTGGTGGGCCCATAACCCATAGGTCCGAGGATTGAAACCTCGCTCTGATATTTCAGAGACAAGTGCTCCCAATCAATTATTTTTGTTTGAAGTAATTTTCACTGGCGGCAGCTGCTCATTCACACTTGATGACGATTGTGATGAAGTTATGCAGTTGATATGAAACAAGACTTCGCCGCAAGTGGTTCCAGCGTGGTGTACCCTCCCTGCATTGTGTAGACTGATTACACTGAAGTAATGAAATGGGCACCCCAAAAGTTTTCAGTTGCTGCCCTTCAAGCTCATTCCAGGCTCAAGTCAAGTTTCTACACATTTATCACATGTATTTTTGAGTGGGATCAATGTCTTAACGAAGGTTGTAACATCAGTTGTATGTGGGCATACTGAAGCACATGTCCATTTTCATATATTAGAGATGAGTTTAGTCGTTAGTAACAAGCTTCCATAATCTTGCACGATGACACAATTCTCAAAACCCATTAAACAAGGAAAATTATGATTTTACCAAACCCAAGATAACTGTAGGCTACAACTTTCAACTACAAGGTTGCAACCAAGGACGATGTAAGATCAATCCACTAAATGTTGACACCACACAGGGAACTCCTGCTTGTCGCGAATAAAAACCAAGTCTACAGGTGGGAAAACAGTGATACTCAACACAATCGATTTATGATTGATTAGCCATGTGGAGTATTACCCTAAATAATATTCAAATTGTTCATCCTCATGTTCCATCATACTTGGCAAAATAATACCTCACAACATCTCAGTTTTCAATAGTAGTCTTCTGTCGAAAATTTCTACTGGAATGGTTGCTAGACTGGGTCTAAGTTCTAAAATCTGCTCAATATGTGACTACCCACCTACTTCCAGAGCTAACTTTACGCTTCGCTTTTCTCTTCGCGAAAACATGAGAAGTATACCGTTGCGTGCCGTCCTTATTTTGTACCTTCGAATTAGCCAAGAGGCCAGTGATAAGACTCTTGGCAGGGTTTACCCATCCTACCACTGACTTCGATGTCAATGAAGGTATGCTTGTGAAAGAGGACCATCAGCATAGACAACGGGCAACTTCCTTTAACCCAAAAACGCTAATCTTGTCACGTCCCCAATCTGAATATTCAAGGCCCTGTGAAAACAAATCCGGTCCAGTTCCTCTTACCATGGCACAATAAAAACAAATAGGCTTAAAAAAACATAGCAAATAACACAAAAATATTTAGCCTATTAACTTTACCAGTTGCTCAACTTGTACTGGTTCATAATTTAAGCTGACCTCAGGTACCACGACGAAAGACGCACATAGCCGAGAATTGGCTTGCATCACACATACGAACTCGTCACATGGGGGCACATCATTGGACGTACCTAAATGCTGCAGAGAAAAAAAACAAGACAACTCCCAAATGCTGGAAATGGTCTTGCATAAGCCTTTCCACCCCAAAAAGCATCTGATACTTCAGGTTACCCAATAAACCCATAAACGCTCAGTAACTTGATGCACTTGTGGTGACTGAAGGGGCTGGCAGTGACAACCTGTTAAGCAAGGACGTATTATTCACAGGGATCCTCACATTTTTAGATAACGATTATCATTGCCAACCACAAAATGACATGGATGGTCGTATATAAATACTTTCCGATGCGAGGCTGAAAAAGGTAAGTCATAACATACTCCTTATTTCTCGCTGAAGACATAATACTGGATAGACTGCCCTAGCAGTCCCAGTTACCATACCAACCAGGCTAAGATGCGCAGGTTTGTAGAAGAAACAAAATACACGCTTTGACATGTCGAACTCTCGAAGAGAATAGCTCTTGTCAACGACGTGGTTTGGAAGCTTTTGAAGAGAGTTTTTGAAATTCATATTTGAATGTTGAACCGTAAGGTCGGCTGAGGGACAGTGCCCAGTTCACAGCTGCTGCACTCGCAACCAAAGTCAGAACATTTCCTGCAGCAACGTTCCACTCATGCTATACCCTGAAAAAGAAAAAGAAAAAGAAAACCCAAGGGAATCAGTGAACAAAATGCCTGAATGCTGCAAATCCCAATAACTGGAGCTGAATGGCATCTATACGAGGTTTTTTTGATAGTAAGGTCAACGTTTTTGCCAGAACGACTCTACCTATTTAAAATGGGAAGAGCACATAGGAAAATGTAGAGAACAAAAACCCATCACATTAAATCAATAAATTCCGTACTTGATGACAAAGAATCACACCTACATTTGAAACCAGGAGCTTACCTTTCACCTCTTTGTTGGAACTCCCACCACACAGCATCACCGATAGTCACCATCTCGTCAAATACTGGCTTGTACAAAAATCCAGGGTCCGCAAGAATGCTGTTCACGTAAAATAAACACAAAAAATCAAAGATAGCAAGAAAATGAATCCTATGCAAGATTCAAAGACACAAGAACGAAATTGAACTCTACACAGCCCCTAATAAAACTTGTATAAAAACGGCAATCAATACAAATCCTTGCTATTTGTGAAAATGGGCCTTATTTGGAACCCAAAACTTATTGCCAATCAATTTAGTCAGTTCTGATGTTCTCATCTGTACATTTGGCGAGAAGAGATACCAAAATCTCAACTGAAGTTACGCAGGTACATACGATTTATTCAAGAGAGGAAGAATAGAATTGAATGCCAAACATAAAGAATAGAATGTCAGAACTGACAAAGTGCGAGTAGCAAGAACATACCGACCGATGAATGCCCTTGAAACTGGCTCAGGTAGCATCCATGATAACTTCCTAGTAAAAGTCGGTCTTGCATTACCGACAAAAACCTGACCATCTGGGCCGAGCTAATCAATCCCTGTTTCAGCAAAGCAAAAGAAATATTTTCTTAGCCACATACAGAACTGCGCAATGTCAGTCCTCAGAGACGATTTCAATCAACACACGCCTCCTCTGACTCTGGAATACAAATTTCCTGTTCTAACCACTACGAACAAAAAAACAGTCAACGTCACCTACACAAGGACGTCCTAATCCTCATGCTTTAAATTAATTACAACCTGCAACAAGTTGGCCAAGTCGACTTTAGTAATCCACCGAGATTCACTGACTTTCTCGGAAACAAATTAGACCGACATGCGGGAACATTCAACGCATTAATTCCACAGCCAGTCGAAAGCCTTCAGGCAAGTCACTGATCGTTTTGAGCCACTCTTGTAGGATAACTTCCACATACTTCCGGTCTAACATCTGCACAAGAGCCATACAACACAAAATCTATGAAAAAATCTCGCTGTGAACCTCCTCCAAGTTCCACCAACACATCCTCAATTTAAGCAACATGCCAAAGCCAAACCGATACGAACGTCCACATTGAAAAAACTCCAAGTCACACTAATCCAAACAGATAAGGTCATCCGCAATCTGGAGGCTCAAACTTTTCCACACTCAATCCCCGATCATCTGATGACTACCACCACGAAATCACCAAGAGGGCAACAAAATGCGACTCCATTCAACCCCACGTACACAAAACCCACTCTTGCATACCTCCTGTTTAACCTTGGAAGAAGACTGCGACAAGTCCAGCTTTGACTTCTCCAAGGTCGCACTACCCCCTCCAAACGAACCGTACCCCTTCTTCATCTCCACGACATGCGACCTGATGGAGATATTCAGCACGTCCTGACTCTACGGCAATCTCTCGACCACGCCCTCGTCTCCCAACCCACCAAATCCCCGAATAGCACCTCCAAACTCAGTTTTACGCCTTCTCACTACCACAGCTCCCTTCATCCTGAACTCAACATTCCTCTTCCGCATTTTCAGCGCGCTCACCTGAACTCAACATTACTCTCCCGCCCAATCTGTCCTTTGCGCCACAACCTCAAAGCGGGATCGAAGGTCATCCCCTGAGACGCCATGGCAGCCATGACCCCCTCAGCGGTGGCCTTCTCCTCTCCTTTGACAAATGCAAGAGGCAATTGCTCAAACTACAGGAAATTAATCAATCCTGTTATGGCAGAATCGTGCTTCCGTGGTGGCGAAATTGCAATCAATGGCAAACACAGAAACGCCACTCCTCGATAAAGGCGAGGATCGCAAGGGAAGCAGTCAGTGCCTGAGAGGAGGGAAGGAGGGGGGCTATAGTGGGATTCTGGAATTCCCGAGGGAGATGGGACGACGAGCTCGTGAATCAATCGCATGCGATTGATTACCAGCAGCAGCAGCAACAGTGGCAAGGGGCAGCACGGCATTCATTTCCTCTTCACCAGACGTTGAGCGGCATTCATTCTTCATCGGAATTTGGTAGCGGCCCTGCACAGTCAGCGCCTACGTGGCGAGCACACTCTGTCCTCGCACATGGCACGGGGGCTCTCTCTATCTCGATACCTTGTCTAGGTCTCTTCCTCACGGGTATGTATCCGGGTTTAATCGGGGTATGTAGGCGGTGAGGAGCAAAACCAGTAGAAACGGTTTGAAACTTGGCGAAGGAACTGCCACGTTCCAAATTTCGAGAAAATGATACTGTATTTATAATGTCTACGTCTCATTTACAAACATCGTTGTTTTCTTTTTATTTTCTCTTTATTTATTAACATTTTTTTTTGTAAAAACATATCATTAAAATATAAATTTATTATTAAACCCTTCTCAAATGAGTTCACATGGTCATTTTTGATGTCATGTAGCTCACTCCTTCTTCATCCTCTCTCTATGAAACTTTGCACATATAATTTCTCATATGAATTGACATAGTATAGATTCTACCTAATTGACCATGGCTCTTGCGCCATCCTTCCGCCAATTGTTCCATAAGTAGCGGATTTTACTCGAGGGGGGGGGGGGACTTATCCTCCACTTGGAGCACTTCGATAAGTGTTGCAAAGACCGGTTTCTCGATTTCCTGAATGATTTTTCCGCATTGTGTGGACTTCTCTATCCTTCTCTCCACCACATTTTAATATCCGCAAAGGATCCAGCGGCACTTGCGGGGGAGGTATGGGGCTTGTTCCTCCCAATCAACGGGAACCGTAGCCGCATGTAGAGTTAAAAGAATAAGGTCAACGCAGAGGAGTGCGCGGAGCTGAACCCACACTATCCATTCGTATCTAGTGTGTCTCGAGTTCAGAATGAGATGCTGGAGGCGGGGTGCGACCCACATGCACGCCCCATCCCGTTCAGCCCCGGCTTTAGTGCTGTCGTGATCGTAATCAACTAAAGCCTCTCTACCCACAAAGTAAGCTCTGGACCAAATCTAATCCTTGATTGACAGCAATCGGTCTCCTTGCAGTCGGTGTTCCTGGAAACACAACAAATCGAGATTGGATAAAAGTGGCCAATAGTAACTTCGTACCAGGTCAACGTCATAAGGGTTATGAGTCATAACGTTGATCAATATTGCAGAGGGAGGAGGAGAGGGAACAATTGCATGCTCCTCGAGCTCGCTGCCGAGACTTCTCGAGGTATTCTTTGTCCTTGTAATAGTAGGTTATGTTGTCTTCGCAATATGGCTGCTTTATCTTGTATGCATAGAAGTTGGTGATCTGTGTCTTTGAGGTTGTGGGGTAAGAATACGGCGATTAGCCTCAAGTATGTTCATATCACTTAACTAGTGATACAATTTAGCATGAAGATGCTCGGAAATGTTGTCGATCGTCTTGACAAGGGTCCTTGGTGTAGAGGCCTTGGATCGAGGTGTTAGATGACCAGCGGTGTTGATGTGGAGCTTAGGAGGGTATACTGTAGACATGTTGCCAATGCTGCCTGTTTGGAGGGATTGAAAGAGAGAAGTGGTGCTGTTCAGATCAATATTAGGGCATGTATTTACTCCTGGATTGCACAAGTTTGGTTCTTGTGGGTTCGCTCCAACAAGGGTGGGGGTGGCATCACTTCGACAGTAGGCGAAGGGGGGCTCTCGGCTCTTTCGGGAAGTAAGTTGGGCTGACCAATTTCTTTCACTATTGGTGCGGATGGGGTGGCAGTGCATACTGTATTGTCCCTCCCTTCATGCGGGGGTATCTAACTGCTGGGACGGACGTCTTGGTCAACGAATGGTGGGAACACTGGAGTGATACGAGTTGCTTTAATTATTTCTTGTGGTTGATTAACATCTGAGCTAGCTTTTTGTATGGCCATTATTCTGGAGTTTGAGACTGCCATATCAGTACCCTGTCCTTTGGTCGGGGGTCAAATAGGGGATTGTCTCTGGAGATGGCAATTCATATCTTGGTGGGGCATCGAACAGGGGATTGTCTTTGGAAAAGGCAATATACATCTCGATCGTGGGTCATTGTTGGGACCGCTAGCAGATCTTTTCGAATCGCTATGTCGGGCTCTGGTGCCAGTAAGGGCGATCATACCATATTGACATCTTCTTCATTCTGAGTCAGAGAAAGAATCCGAGCGCTGACTTATTCGGGGATCAGTGAACTATGCATTTTGCTCGAGGATGTTGAATGAGGCGGAACGAATCTTTGATGAGTATTGTCTTCCACAAAGGCGGGTGGACCATTTGCTCTTGACCCTTCTCACTGCATTCTGCCGTTTTGCATCGATGGATAGCCAATGCATTGCCCATGTTCTCTGAGGTGGTACTCTGATCATATTTGAATGCTCCACGTCTTTGGTATTGTTAGCTCCTAATTGGAGGGTGTGATTTTGTGCCGGGGGCAGGACAGCTGGTTGTTCCTGCGTCAGTGCAGTCGCATCCACTACTCCTCTTTTCGATGATTTGATCCCTTTGCATTTCTTTATCAAGTGTTTTGTGCTACGATAGAAAGGGCACCTAATTGGAAGATTACAATAATCAACTGAAATAACAGAGTCCTCACTTGTTCCATTCGTGATAGACATGAGAGTACACCAACGGATCCCCGCTTCCAATGCGACACAGAATCGTTGTTCCGCATTGGCGGTGTCGTGTGAGTCTCTGCCAAGCACAACATCCAAACCACCGGCGATTTGGGAAGCAACTAACAAGAATTCACTTGCTCTTTTACTATAGACAGCCACTTCGTTAAAAAAACGGGGGTTTACTTACCTCCCACGAAATAGGCCACCACTGCATGCTTCTGGAGGTGCTCAATTTCTTTCTTCACAACATGGTCCACATAAACCTCCAGCACCTCCATGTGTAGAAGGAACCCCGTGCGGCTCCATACGTACCCACTCGGAAGTTTTTCACCCTCCGATGGAATTGTTGGGTGGAATTTGGCATGTTTCTCCATGTTGGTGACCATTACAATAGAAATTCACCACATTTCATGATAAATGGCTGCTGTGTAGTGTGATCACACATGCAAATTTCAAGCATCTTCAGCTCTCTACAGTTTAAAGCTCTTCATCTTGCTTTGCTTGCCATGTATTGCACAGGGAAAAGCTAGAGGTGGAGTACAGCACAGTGAAGAGCTGCCATGCATTGCAGACAGTTGCCAATTTTGTAGGTAGAAACTCATGCACTTTGACATTGGTCGAGGGGTTTGTCAGCTCTGGACCTCTCCTGGAAGAAAGCCTTTGTAGTGATAGCTTGATGAGCTTGCAAGCTACAAGATGAAGTGGTTGCACCTTCTTTTAGGCTCACAACTTTGCAGTGACTGCACAGGCAGTTCATTGGAAGGTGAGTACAACTGCTTTACTAGAGGTACAGTAACATTAGTACTATGCAAGAGAAATAGTAATCATGTAACAACCATTGGTGGCACCTTTCCACTGCCCTGCTGATATTTATTTGCACACTTTTGCACAAATAAATAAATAAATAAATATATATATGCATGCATGCAGACACACATACATAGGCTCTCATACACTGCAAGCATTACAGATCACAGCATCTAATAATTAAAGTTTTTTACTGTGTAATTGCCTCATTCATGAAATTTTTGGTCAGTGTTAGGTGTGCCAAAGCTATTAGGACCTGCAGAAATCCATGCTATGGACACTCCCACTCCATGGCCACAGACTCAGTCTTCCCTGCTTCTTCATTGTACTTAGTGTGCATCAGCTTCAAACCAAAAATAGTCCCGCAAATCAGTGGGAGTTTTGCAGAGAATGGGAGATATATGGGCAGCTGTGGAGAGGTGCCTCATGCTCATTGACACTGATGCAGGACAAAACAAAAAGCATAAAAGAAAAATAAATAAATAAATAGAAAAAAAATAGAGTTCCATGCAAAGAGGGGATCCATCATCTATGTGTGGACACAAGGACCCACAGGACAAACAAACTTTCTCAGTGGGATAATTGATTGGTATTTTGATTCAAGTATTTGCCTTGAGAATGGGATAAGGCTGGGAAAACCCATGCAAAACTTGTGGTTGCTTGTCACCCAATGTATGCCAGTTGTCTCCATTGCAGGGAGATGGTTAACGGGTTCAAATATTGATTGGTAAACAACAACTACCAAGCTAGAGGACATAACCATGGGGCTGGGGTTTTGTTCTCCTTCCAATCCAACTATCCAATGCTCCTAGGTGTGTCAGCAGCTATTTTGTGAACACTGCTTAGTATAGCATCTTCAAAAGCCTTGCTAAAAGCTTTTAACTTAGTCATGTGACCTTGCAAGCCAATCTCTCTTTTTTCATTAATTTGGTTTGTGTGGGATCACTAATCACAAGGAGTGGCTCTGACTATTGGTCATTCCTAATGGATCATGGCAAATTTGTCCACTACTTTTGAATCTTTGCTCTAATTAGTGGAGTTAAGTCATGAGACAAGCAGGACTGGTCCTGACCAAGTGTGATCCTTAACCCAGTTTCAGAGCTGGTTGGGTGTTCTATGGTAAAGAAGGTAGCATGTATTACACTGCTCTATTGATAAAAGGCTCAGGTCAAGGAAGGGCAGTTGACTCTTCGATGACCTGGCCAAGATTTTCAATGTGTTACAACTGAGTTGCCCTCTTTCCCCCTTGTGGCCAAGGTTCTGTATCCATTGGATGCCACCCATGGCCCTGGCAATCCCATCCCTGCAATTCCACCACAACTGACTCAAAGAATTTCACTGCTTGCCATCAAGCAGATCACCTCCATTTTGAACAAGATTCCAAGTTGATAGTTGCAGGCCCTCAGGGCAGTGAGGCAAAGTGGCCATGTAAGGGCATTTCTAGATATCCACAGTAAGAAACTGAGTGCTTCATGTCAAATGCCTGGATTACTAACCTCACAGACTGAGCACATGGTATCCAGTGTAGCATAGCATTGACGAGAGGGGTGGACTGCCACAATCACAGCACTCACAGTAAAGGTCATCATCAAGCAGACTGTTTGAGCTAGCAATATCAGCTCCAACAAGACCATCCCAACTTTCCCTCCCTGGATTGTATGAGAGACAGCACCCACACATCCAAGACTTCCTTTTCCACATTTGAGGTGTTTTTGGAGGACCTCTGCAGAATGAATGCTCTGAGTGTGAATTCTAGTGATTGAAAGCTTGATGTGATTTGAAACAGAAGCATCATGCTTGATTGCACCATATGGCTTGTCACAGTGTCAAATTGCAGTTATTTCCAAAACAATATTGACACAAATAGAAGGAGCTTCTATTGCAGAATAAAAAATATTATACAGCAAGGGCCCAGCCAGACCTAGCCAGGACCGGTAGCACAAATTAACTTAACCTACCTCACAAATCCATAGGGCCTACCAACTTCCATTGAGGCTGTCCAGCCATTCATGATGCTTAGATGGCATTTGTACACCATTGTATCTGGAAGCATTCTAGGCAATGAACATAATTGTCTTGACTGTTCTTGTATCTATTTTTAAATTGAATCCATGCATAATCAATCAAATTCAACCAAATCTTATTAAATATTTCTTTAGCATTCCAAAGGCCACCATTGAACACTGCATCACTTCATTCCATCGACAACAACCATGTAATGGTTCCATGTAAGAGTAATTGCATCCTACTAACTTATTTGAATTGCCTAGGATTACAATGGGCAATGTTTCCACAAAAAAGAAAAGACTGAGGAATTAGATTCTTTGGTGCCCTAGGCGCCTTGGGAGTCCAAGTAATTTTGCATAGATGCAGCTTTTGAAATGAGGCATAGCAAGATGCATATCTCCCACCCTTGCACTTATTATGTTGATATACATTCCTAAAACCTATGTAGAATTGTTCTTTTTGCTTATTGTCAAAGTGCTATGGTATAATTCATATATGGTATTTCGTCTCTCTATATAAAGTAGCTAAGATTCCACTTCATCTAATCTACTTTTTTCATGTAACAAACCTATTAACATGCAACATTCAACATGCAACATGCCTATTAGGCTAAAGAAAAAAAAAAGAAATATAATATAGATGACCTTAATTAAAAATATTATTACAAATTACCTTAGAAATATATATAATTGTCAAGGACATGAATCTTTAAAAAATAAATCCTCAATATACTCTTATGTTACTCAAAAAGACTAAAAAATCACTCAAAGATGGTATAGTATTAATCTAGAATGGCTAATACTAAAGACAAAAAGATTAGAAAATCTTGAAATAAGACTAAAGACTAAAAAAATATTGATAAGAGTGAAAATGATTCTTTCTTACTTCCATATATATTCTCTAACTAGGAGTTACCTAGTAATAATCTATAAAACCTCTAATATATGTTGATTTTGCTAAACACATGATTTAATTTATAAGACAAGTTATTTATATGTGCACCACATAGTTAGCTTGTTCTACAAGCTATTAATACATGTATTAGGTGGCTAATTTGTTGACCAAGTTCTTAGCCTACGAGTTAACTGTTAATATGTATAAAATCAAAATAATATCTATGAATTTTCTAAGAAGCTTTTCTAAAAGTCATTTGAAATTAATCTACTTTTATCTATTTCTACATAATTATATAAATAATTATTAGAATAAATACATATATTTGTGACAATACCTTCTCTTCTAAAGACAAGTTCTATGAAAAGCAGTATTATCTTTCATAGAACTTATTATTTTTCATCCTATTTTTGATAGATGTCATTTATTAAAAGCCTCAACCTTCTTTGTTACATTTGTAAATTTTTTTGCTAACTCCTATATACATTCAATAATATCATATTGTAAAGGATATGAATTTTAAAGAAAGAAAATCTTCAACACACTCTTATATCATTGAAAGTAACTAGAAAGTCACTTAAAGATGGTATAATATTGAACTAGAATGGCTATTACCAAAAACTAGAAGACTAAAAAGTCTTGAAATAAGACCAATAACTAGAAAGGCATTGACAAGAGTGAAGAAGGCTTCATTCTTGCCTCTATATATATTCTTAACTAGGAGCTATGTGGCGATGTTCTATAGAACCTCCAAAACATATCGACTTTAAAAGACACATATCTTAACTTGCAAGGCAAGTTTTTTATATGTATGCTACATAATTAGCTTATTCTGTAAGCTACCAATACATGATACCAATACATGCTACCAATACGTGGTTGACTTGTTGACCAAATTTCTAACCTATCAATTAACTACAAACATATGTAAAAGTTATGCATTATCTATGAAGCTTTCAAGAAGCTTCTCTAAAAGGTCTTATAAAATTAATCTATTTTTATCTACTCTTACTTACTCCAATTTAATCATTTAGATATTTATTAGAATACTTATATATGTGTGTGACATTATCCCCCCTTCTAGGAATGAGTTCTCAAGGAGCGATCTTCAAATGTTGAAAAAATCTAAGATGCGACAAATTATATTTACTACATACTCCAATCTTTGTTCTCTTTGATGATGGTTGATAGGCCCTCTCGGCCATTGATAGTGTCTCATACCAAGGCAAGAAGATGACCATGTTATTTGGTCATTGTTGACACCTTTGTAACTTCCTTCAAATAAAACATTTGAAACATTGTTAGGAGTTCTTTCTATCTCTAATAAAATCACCAAATATCGGGAGTCTCTTCTAAAGTTGTGATACCAAACATGTTATATCTTTCCATTTATTTGAAGAAAGACATGTCATTCTTCAAGATCTTCATCTCAATTTTGTCATCTTGAAAATTGTGACAATTGGAATGTCTTATCTAATAAGTCTGCAAATAAAAGCTCTTAAGTTGAATCTACTAGTTATTAGTTCTCCATCTCCTTAACTACATAGAAGCTACAAAGAAGGATAGAAAATAGAGTATTATTTTCTTTTAATCTTGTTTCTTTTATAGCAAAGATTTGCTATTCTTCATCTTAATTTTGATGGATGTCATTGATGAAAAGCTTCAACTTTCTTTGCTACATTTATAAGATTCTTTTTTGGCTCTTGTATGCATTCATTAATATCACATTCTCACTAATAAAAAACATATTCCAACCTATTTTGGTACCACCTTAAATCTAAGACTTCTTCCACCTTGTACTCTTGGTTGTTATCTACTTCTATATGAGGAGATGGCATTTGTCTTTTTCTCAAGATATTCACTATCTTATATGGCTCAAAAAAGAACACATGAAATATAGAGTAATTCTTCATAGACTTTGGTAGATATAATCAATAAGTAATATGATTGACTTGTTTACTAATAGAGAAAGGTTCAAGCCTACAAGAGTCCAACTTGTCTCAAGGACAAGTAGTCTTGATATTACAACAAAGTAACCATATCTTATCTTCTACCTTGAATTGTGATTGTTCTTTGTGATAGGAATCTACATTAGTCTTTTATCATTCTTGAGCTTCTTTTAATTATTTCTTCATTGTTGCATGTAGCTCTAAGAAATAATTTGCTAAATCTCCCACTATAAGATTATCAACTTTTAAAAAGTCAAA